AATGGCACTTACAACCTTATTGTAAGTGACTGTCGTGTTCTAACGATGAAGAAGAATCTTTGATAATGTCTCATAGGTAGACTACACTGAGTGGAGAAGATGCATTGACTTCTTTGTGTCAGTCAGCTTCTCCCCCATATTCCGAAGATCCATCAATAGGTTTCCATAGGCGTGAATGTTATCTTGTATGCGCATGTCGGGCTTCATAGTAAACCGTAATAATCGCATGTAAATGTTTATCACAATCATTGGATTCTTTTGATGGAACCATTGCTGAAGCGCATCAAGCAACTTGGAAACTTCAAAATATTCCTCAACCTGCTTGAGTATAGTAGGGTCTAGATATGCCAACACCGTGCAAACTGCCTAATCTTGAGTAGCAGTCCATTCAATGTCGTTTATGCTAGAAGGTTTTTCTCCCAAGCATATAGTGAGACCCATGGATCGTAATTTTACTTTTACTTGCTTTTTTCAAAGCAAATAATCACCTTGGCCATTGAAAGATATGATGTTATATCCAAAATTGCCACCGACCTATAGACTCCGCACGTCGAAAATGAGAGACAACGGCAACTTTCTTTTCACATGTCATAAAACCTTCACATGTCAGGAATTGTCACATCAAACTTTTGTAGGTTTTATGTAATCTTCATATCTTCTCAAAAATTGTATGTGGAGACTGGAAATGAAAAAACCATCTATAGACAAACTATATCAAACAATTTATTCAATACAGGTCCAAACCAAAAACCGAAAAAATTATAAATATTAGAAAAAACCCTATGACACAGAGTCCGAACCGGAGCCAGCTCTGATACCAATTGTAAACGCTAAAACTCAGAACCACTCATCATTCAGTTACACCGACACTTGAGACACGAAAGTATAACGTGGTTCACCCTCAAGGGCTATGTCCACGGGGAGAAGAGCACTAGAGAGTTTACTGCTTGAATGTTTGAATGATAGTCTTCTTATCACCCTCAAGGTATATATATACCCGAGATAGTTAACTACTCTAAGCTATAAATAACTACATATGCTGTTAATCTTTGTTAACTAACCTAAGTTAACTCCTTAACCAAAGTTAACCTCAACAATATAAATACTTTTATTATTATATATAATAATATATAAGAATATTATAAAATCAAAGTTTTTAATTTTAGAAAAGAAGATTATTTTCTGTTCTTATTTGATGTTAATTTTTTTTTAAATATAATGTTAATTATGCATGAGCAATACATTATTTGTATTTTATTAGCATTAAAAGTTCATTTCATTTTACATACATGTATGTTTTTACATCAACTTTGCATTTTCATTGTGTATTGAATAAAAACCTTTCTAACTTTTATGTTTTGAGTACAGAATGGGACATATTTTAATTTCACATATATTATTTTGCATGTTTGTAATATCTAACAAACGTCAACAATTTTTTTTTTATTCTCATTTTTTATAGAAATATGATATAAAAAAATACAAAATAATTTATGAAAAAAATATTTTTAAAACGTAAATACGTTGATTTTACAATAAATTGTAAAAAATTTACACATATAAATCACATCTGAAATAATGAATATAATAAATAATATATTTATGATAATGTATTTATCAAAGTTTTCTAATGAACTTTTAAATTGAAGAAAAAATATTTTATCATTAACAATTACTAGGAAATTCTTAAAGATAGTTTACTTAAAACTAAATTTTTTTTATAAATTTTCAATGAGTACTAAATTTTTTTATTTAATTTTATCAAAAATTTTAGAAATCAATTTTTTTGAACGAATAAGAAAATTACTCTCTGTTAATATGTAATTTTAATATTTTTTAAACATATATTTATACTTATAAAAAACAGTAGATCATTTGGACATTATTTACATTGAACTTCATTTGATTTTAAGTACATCTATGATAATGAAAATATGAGAAGCAAACTTCAAATTTGATACCATGTATTGAACATTCAGACATGTATCTTTTCAGATTACGTTACATGGTGTTAAAGAAAGTATTTTGTTTCTTCGTCCAGGATTGCTTTATGATAACAAAAGGTAAAGTTTTAGTAACATATGAAACGATCATGATCCGCGGACCAAGTCAAATGTACGAACCTATCAACATAGTAGTTACCTCCTTTTATCAATAAACTAAAATTTCTTTTAACGTTAACCTTGACTTGAACGTCCCTGCTTGGAAAATAATTTTGGCGCACGGGTTTATATATGATCGTACTTAAGAGTCATCAAGCTACGGACTTAATTTGTAGATTCTCAATTATGAACAATTACGCATTAACTCTAATAATCATTAGACTTCTATTTTTTCTATTTCTATACGTACTACTTAGAGAAACATATGTTAAGTGAAAAAACTATGTACAGATTGATTGAATAATAATATTCAGTTAAAACAGTAAAACAATAACACAAAGATCGAGTACGATTTGACGTTTATTTTAGCACCATTAGTTTGATTGAACTAATCAAAACACACAAATTTCTGTCCAAAATCAATGAATCTTTTAACGTGAGCATAGTTTGAACTTGACAGCAAATTAGACATTTAGAATACTGGATATCAGAAAACAATATGAGCATGCTCCGGTCTGAATTTATTGCAGTAAAATTAATCTTAAGATACGATAGATTTGAAAACATAAGAAAATAGACACGTTAGAAAGATACCTCGGATATATTAGCTTGAATAGAGATAACAGAACAATTCCTTCAGGCTCAGGTTTTTTAGGTCCTATGACATAATTGCTATCCTAGCAACCGATAGGGTCGCCCATGGATGTAGGAAAATTAGATACACATTTGCATATCTTCAAACACGATACCGGTGAAGGTTTGACATGAAATTGTACTTCACGCACCATCTGCATAATAATTTAAACTAAGTTCAGGAAGACAGGCAATCCTGACAATTACCAAACGTCATTAGTATCTTGACCCTAGCAACCTTAGAACGAGATGGAAGATGAACGAGACTTTCGGTGTCCAAAACACTCAAGCAACTGAAAGCAAAAATTTCTTCAGACTACACATTTTGAGCTTGTACATCACAAGTTTCGATTAGTTCTGGCTGATGATCTCTACTGGGCATTTATTTCAGTGCTAACGGCCCGTTCGTGATGGCCTATCTCTGATACCATATCTTACAGGGAGATTCCCTCTGATATGGAGGATCGGAAAGCTGCAAGCTTTACAAAAACCTCCTAGCAACACCGACTATTGACAGATTAACTTCCGGTAGACTGAATACTGTATTCCTTTACACTGGAATGAAGTAGATCACAGATGTATTCAATGCCAACGGTCACTGCCAGACGAAGAATCACTATCTTCATCGTATGGTAGCTCATGACGAGGAGCATTGTACTTCTCCAGTAACTGCTTAGATGGAATGAAGTCTCCTATACTGTCCATTCCATAGAAGAGAAAGTAGGTGTACGGATGATCAAACCGTCCATGAAAGCAACACCCAAAAAAACACAGTCAGAACACAACTCTTGTAGATAAAATTGATATGAATTTCTAAACTCATATCAATTTTAGTAACTCGCCACACCAGATGTAAGCATAATTCACAAAGAAGAGCTGTGCTTCCTTAAACTCTGTTACGTCCTACCATTGCTGCATATAGTAGAAGGCTTTTACATCCTCCGGGTCTGTGGGCAAGATCTAAAGCGTTTTTTTTATGCTATTTGGCATCTATGAACATACTGAGGGTTTATGGCTGTTTTCACTTTTGCCAGTGCATTGTTCAGTGCACAATGCGCCACACATGTTTAACATGAGTAAGATGTGATTCCTTCTAAATTTGTTTCCCACGAAGGTTCTAAAGTGGGTCACTTCTATACTACTTGTTTGCACACGGTCTTTACGGCTTTATCTATGGTATACCGTTCTCCGTATGCAATGTACACTTGGTGACTGCTTTGCTTAAGCAATGTTTCTTGTTTTCTAAACATGGTGTAAATCCGATCCTTTTTATATTACATCCGACCATTTTCAAAGTTTTATTTTAAGAATCTAGTCATATTGTCACGTGTCAACTTGAGTTAATTATGAATCATATTCAAGCATGTAAGTAAGTCTTTATAGCCCAAACATGTCATATCTCGCTCGACATCCAAGCTACGTTGATCAGAAACACATTCGTGTCTCAAACTGTATGTATGCTTGCCGTAGAAAACGTCTGGGTGTGGATTTTTTCACCTAATGGGTGCTGGTACCAATATCATTTAAGGCTTTACCGATTAACTAGATTGTTGAGTCTGTATCAATGAAGACAGAGAAAGAGGAATAGATCAATTCCATGCACATTTGTGCACTTTCTAAATAGCAATGTTTCATTCTGTGATTCTTTGCATCTCATCTATTGTCTAAATTAAAGTTGGATAATACCAACTAGTCACAGATCATGAACCTGATGTGCATATACCATCACGCACTGGGTTGTTCACCCCAATCTGCACCAATAATGTCGCAAGTATAAATTTTGAAAAACCTGAGTTTGAGTATGGATCTCCAAGATCACTTACTAGTGATCTTGGAAGCTTTAGTGTTTAGATTAAACCCTAAACCCTCAATGAGGATCATTACAACAAGTTTTGCCATCATCCAATGGTTCCGTGTTAACAATGATCTTGGAACGTTTAGGATTTAGGTTAAACCCTAAACCCTTTTAAAGGATTATTACAACGGGTTTTGCCATCGTCCAATGGCTCCGTGTTAAGAATTTCTAATGGAGTACAATGCAGATGCAATAGTATTTGGTCAGTGATCTATGTCAGTAAAACGTATGTACGAACATCAATTAAATGGTTGGAGGATGAGACTACGTTTGAACGGATTACCATTTCTTCATGATCTCCTGGGAACTAATTACTGCTGTCAGGAATGAACAAGTTAAATTGGATGTTATTGATACGGCAAGCATAGTCCCCAAATGAAACTGATGACATACAGACACAACATTCACGCTTCACTCAAGAGAACTCCGTTGAACAGTTGAGGTAAAATCTGTACAAGTTTCTCCATAATCGTTGCCAGTTGTGCTTTGGAGACAACAATCTGTACAAGTTTTGTCTGGTCATAACGTGACGAGACCACGAGAGACACGAGAGCATTTTGCTTCCTTCTCCAAATGCATTCTACTTTCTACTCCTCATCTCCTAACGAGAACACTGGCTCGATGCTGTATTTCGGTAATTGCTTCTTCCGGTTTTACAAACATTTGTTGCACAAGCGCCTTAAAGCTCACTTTGAAAGCGTCTCCACGTTGGACCAATCCGGAATCTCCAGAACTGTACGTCTTTGTCTGCGCCATTCTGATGATATCATTATCGTCCACCATTGTTTACACACGTGCTTCGGTGCATCCATTTGGCTTCTCGGTAAGAACATCAAAACGTGTGCAAGAACATCATCGTACAGATCCTGGATTTGGGGATTTGAGCATCCCTTTTTGAAGATTCCTGTGTCCCTGGGTTTCACTACACCACAACGAATGTCACGACTCGTCAGTTATGGGTCACATACTCTCAACTTGTTTTGGTTTTCTTGGGAGCCTTGTAGAAAGAATCAAAGACAGACGACCATTCTGAACCACGACAGTTCTCTGAGGATTATGAGCAAAAGTGATGTTAGTTCATTTGTATATATAGGATTAAGATCCGAGACTTCAATAATCATGATTACGCAGACTTTGTCCTCGAGTTCGAACTCTGGAGGCTGATATCATTTCAGATTGTAGCAATCAGGAGAAATAACTGGATAAAGACAGACTCACTGCTCTTACTTCGCTTCCCCTTCTGAATTATTCGCGTGGAGGATGTTCTTCGATACTTCGAAGGTGCTACGGAGCTGTAACATGAAACTTCCTTGTCGCGCTGTGACTTCTCACCTGCACCATGATCTTCACGTCGAGATCATCGAAGTGTAAGGTTTAGGGAAGAAAATTAGCTAAACAGCTCTAAAATATGAAAATTTCGAACGCACTGCACTGTTGGAGACGGAGAAACTAAGAGAGGCTGACCTGTTGGTGCAGTTCTACCAGTCTCTTCTTCGCGAGCCATTCTCGTGCACCGATGACACCACGATCTGCACAAGTGCATGGGAGGATATTCAACGGATCTTTTCAGATGTACAGAGAAGCCTAGCCAGCATTCAAGCGCATCATTCGAGCTTGATGACATAGTCGTTTTTGTACCAGTCAAGCAGAGATACGATGCAAGGTCATATTCCGGCAGAAAACTCAGATGTTCTAACGTTGGAGTTGTAAGAATCGAGAGTATGTCGTGGCAGTCACGACTCTTCTGAAGGAAAGTAAGTTACCTGCAAACTTACTGTGAACTTGAGAACTTTCTCAAGTTTGCAGAATCAGGTGTCGAATACAATTGGCAGACGGATCCACGCGCGTGTCGAAAGAAATTTAGAGAATTCAGAGAATTCTTCAACTCGACGTCAGACGCTGCAAACGCTGCGAACTTGAGAGTCAGGTGTCGAATCGGCAGACGGATCCACGCGCCTGTCGAAAGAAATTGAGAGAATACAGAAAATTCTTCAACTCGACGTTAGACGCTGCCTGTGAATTGGCACATTCATGTCACGAAGACTGTCTGCAATAGGTCTCATATACGGCAAGCAGGTCTTCTTCCGATTTTCATGGGAACATTCCAGACGATTGCTTTCCTGGGATCGAGCACCGCCTTTCCGATCTCTGCGCTCTGTCATCGCCTAGGAGATTTCCAATCCCCTGCCTCCAAGACAGAGGTATGAATCCTCCCTGGCTCGAGGGAATTGTTCCCTTTGTATATGAAATTTTCAATTGAAATTCATATACAAAGTTGCCACAGAGTTCACATGTTGATGTTCCTGATACAATTCTTCCTGAATTTGTTAGTCTCCATCGAGACTGTTGTGCATGAGAGCTGATGAATCGATTGTCTGTGGCAATGTCAGGGTGTCCTGCATGAAAACAGTTTGAGTGCGATTCACACTGAACGGGAATTCGTGGTTCAACCTCGTTTTGGTATACAATGTCGCGGGAGAAGGAAACGTCCTGACCATCAAGATGAAGGGCTCGAAGTCCAGAGAGGTGTAAGATAGAGAAGTGTAAGATAAAGTCTGTGATTTCCTTGTGCATGGCAAATGGATCGAACGAGAATTCAGTAACCTCATGGACAGAAATTCGCTTTGAGGTAAATATGGATGTCGGTGAAGATGATAGATTCGTTGTGCGAGTCAAGCCATTTCCGGGCAGACATCTCAAGATTCCAGCTAAATGTCAGGACCGTGCGTGTTTGAGGTCGATGACTTGACCTCCTCCTACAAGTGGTAAGCACGGGGCATCGTGATCGCTTGCCCGGAGGGTATGGAATAATGCATGCTCACAACATCGTTTCACGCTGTTCTGAGGCAGACTACTGCCTTCCTGCGAGGGACAGTCCAAAAACGTCCTACATTTGTGGGACTGTCGATCGGGAGTTCTATAAATGCGACCTTCTTCGATAATGAATCACACAACTCAAAAAGTTCCTCAAGTACTCACTCTTACAGTGTCGAGGCTCTTTGATCTGGTGTGCAGAGGTGTATTGCTTCTTTTCTGGAAGGTGGGATTGCAGTAGATGCATGTTGTCAATGGAATTTGAGTTTTGAGTTTTGAGTTTTGAGCATGGATCACTTGATCAATGCAGCTACAGACATCAACCGGCAGACTTTCTGATTATCCTTGAGATACACTCTTGTAAATTTGAAACCTGTTCTTCCCAGCGTTTTTTTATTCAATCGAGAATAACTCGACATTGAAGCTGAAAGCCTCTGTTTGACTCCATGCTTCAGGAATATGAAGAGTTTATTCGACAGCTGCAAAATGTTGAGAGTTGGCATTTTGGTGAGTGCTTTACTGCTGATGTCCGAGCCAGCTTTTGTAACTGCTGGGGGACCATTCGCAGCTTTAACATGGACAGATTCACATGCGACATTCTACGGAGGAAATGATGGATCTGGAACAATGGGTGAGTAAGACAACCGACAGAATTTAGTTTCTCGGCGAGTGGCAGGTTTTGAGTTTTGAATCTCTTTTAAGAGTGAAATTCCCTAGTGTTTGGAGGCTACACCCGCAGCCCCGAGGAATTTCAGCACTTATTAGAGAACCATCCCTCAAGCAGCCAAACAAGATTCAAATGCAGGATTAAGAGGAAAATTGTCGATCAACCATTTTAGTTCATGTGATGTGATGATGTGATGAGTGTGTTTCCCCGCAACTAGCTTGATAGTTGTGCAGTGACCGTGATGTTGACTCGCACGATGATGTTGTCCCAGCAGGTGGAGCATGTGGATAAGGGAACATGTACTCAAGAGCTTTCGAACATTCGCAGAGAATGCACAAAATAAGCCAAATCAGAACGGCTCTGGGCTGTCAACGAAATTCACTTCATTGAGAGTTTGACCGTGTGGGGTTGCGATTGCTTAGGAGAATCTTCTGCATCTCATCCAGAGCTTTTGCTGATTACCGATGCTAGCCAATATCAAAGGATCCCGTTCAGAATTGGCTTTCGCTCTTTCATAGCTTCTTAAACCTCTGAATGCTCTGCACAGGAAGAATGGCCATCTCCAGAGCATCTGCCCCGCAACCCAATTCTAGCCCTCGCTTAGTATGATAAGACTTCAGGGCACTTCCAGTGCCCTGTAAACCGCCGGGGCCGGCATGCTCTGTGGCATCGACTAGAGTGCTTTGTAGATTGCGCTGGAGCTGCTGTAATTTGCGGATGTCGGCCGCTGTCACGACAGATGTCCCTGGAAGTACGGACTACATGTGGAGGATTGCAGACGGACATCGTCGTTAGGTACTCGATCGGTAGGTGAAGAATGTAGCAGTTCGGGTGGTCCTTTGCTTTACGAGTTGGTACAGAGTTGTGCCCCCCATCGAATATGTGATGACGATGTCTGATGGGGGTTGGTTGCAGCGAGCACCACCGCGGTGCGGGGAATTCCAGCGACTGTGCTTCTCTCCAACACTCTTCACAACAGTTTTCCTTCATTCCCTTGCTGCGCCTGCCGTGCACATCCTCATATATCCGAAGGCGATATATATATAATTAAAAATCTAATAACTACTGCAAAAATCTTCTCCACCCCCACTGGATCTTCAAAAATTTAAATACTTTGTGACGGGCTTGTATCGACTGAAGCACCACGACGGCTGAGGAGAGGGTATGGAAGGAGCCGCAGCCCACGCGGTTGATTTAACAGTGGACGTGCGACGTTACCAGATCGCGAGTTTAGATCTCGATCAGACAAATTTCTAAATACAATGCAAATCGAGAGCTCAGAAATGATCATCTCACTTACAAGAGTGGGCAGGTGTGCGAATCTAAAGTGCTTCAGTTTTTGAAACTGAACGAGTATCGTTGCAAAAGTTGTTTTGGACCTGACACATTGGTTTCTTTTTGACACATTATCCACTAAGCAGTGGGTCAGAATAGTGGAATCGGCCCCAGACAAAGCAGATGAGACTAGTGCCATGTCTGAATTGTATATCTGACTTCAGACAGCGGAAAAAGTGTCCCGAAAAGCAGTGCTTGCATTGAGTAAGTTTCGGAGAGAAAAGACTGTAGGAGTTGAATATCAGAAAAATGTGTCATGATTTTATTCCAGAAACCAGAAACATCATAAGCGATACTTCCGCTCGATCCTTTGAGGTACTTGCGTGTAAAGCTGGGGTCTGTCAGCATGCTGCAACTTCATGGGTTGGGAAAAAGTACTCTATATACAGCAGCACAAGGCAATGGTAAAGTATTGCTCTGAGATGATCTGGTGTAGATCTGGATCAACCTTCTAAAAAATACCTCTTAGCTTGCCGAGGGTTCCCGGCAACGTGGGCGACTGTAACTTGCTGGGTAACTAATCCAGAGCCAAGTCCACCTTGGCTTGCTGAAGTTAGCTCGATCGATACCTTAGAGAATTAGTAGGGGCATAAATGTATGAATCAGCACAGCGATTCTCCTTACCTGCAATGGTTGCCTACAGGATCTTGTAACCTTAGCTTCTCACAATTGCTTCAACAGAAACGAGACTATCTTAAATGTGCACTGCCACTGGCAGAAACTTAAGGGCGAATATCTTTAAATTCCTTCACCTTTGGCCTGAGCCTGCTCCCGAATGTTAATCTACTCAATTATACATCTCGCACAACCTGCTGGAACAAGCAGACCGCTTCTACGACCCGTCGTCCGTTCCTCTGCTTTCCATGCTCAGGATCGTATCTATGTCTGTTACCTTCATGTCAGATCCAACTTTGCACCAGCTGAATCGTGGAACTTGCCAGAGCCTTGATCACGGTTTGCCACCAATAAGCAAAGTCCCTCTAGCCCTGTTCCCTACAGCTTCTCTCGTGGCAGAGTATGTAACCAGTCGTGACGATTCTGACTCACGGTTACAAGGGACAGGTGAAGCTGCGAAGAATATATCCTGGATTACCTCCCATGCGCAACATTAGTAGGAATAGCAACGCATAGCAGCATCCTTGCACCGCTTTCACCCGTCACCCGTCACGTTCACTCCTCCGGCCACACCGAATCCTATGCTCAAGCGTCGATTAATGAACATCATGGCACAAGATAATGTGACAATGCGAGTTAACATCACCGTCTTGTCTCTGGCATTCCCCTGAATCTGTGCACCCTGTCGGCCCTGCTATAATAATGCTCGGGGACCCACGGATTGAAACCTTGGAGTAAGAGGTAATTTAGGCAGCTGAAAAAATGTCTTAAGCTTCCTCTGTCACGACGGCCAAATTGCTGGGCCCAGGACTCGGGCTGGCGGGCTTGGATTCGTCTTGCTTGCCGTAGAGGGTCTGATAAACGCCCGTGGTCCTTTTGATGAGGATGAGATTGAGCCACACTCCCACGAGACATACTCCCGTCATGATGAAGAAGGTGAGCCGGAAGCAGACAGCTCCCATGCATTGCAGCAGCTCGTCGTTCTCGCCGGTCTGCACGAGAGGCGCATCGGCGTGCTGCTTCGCTGCCTCTCGATCGTAAATGGGTCCGGCGATGAGGCCCGAGAACACTAGCGTCCCGGTCGGCAAGGCCATGGTGAGAATGTTGTACAGGGACCCGAAGTTTTTCAGGCCGAAGAGCTCGGACGCAGTGGCCGGCACCACTGACCAGTGCGTTCCGTGGCCGAACCCCACCAGCAACGACGCGATGTACATCGACCCCGGCCACGCCATCGCGAACATGAGATGCCCAATTGCCATGACTGTCTCGGAAGCCGCTAAGATCACAGGCCTTGGCAGCACCATCTTTCTGAAACCACACACATCAGGAAAGGTCATGATTAGAGGATTGCCAATGCTCGAAAACGATTCTGAGCTTGTGCAGCATTGCTTCTTCAGGGCTGGAATGATTGAATTCATGGCAACTTACCGAGCCACGATTTCTGAAGCCCAGCCTGCGCCGATTCGGCCCAAGAAGCTCCAAATGCCGATCAAGGAGACGAAGACTCGGGCGTCGGCGTATCCTTGGGACTCGCCCATTTGGCCGAGGTTGTCGATGACAGTGAGCCCGGACCCAGAGCCGCACACGAAGGTGAAGAAGAGCAGCCAGAAATCAGCCTTCACGAGCGTCTGCGCCACGGTGAAATTCTCACCTCGGCGAGGACCTTTTCTCCGCTTCGTCTTCACGGCGCCCTCGGCCACGGCCTTGAGCAGCTCCGTGCTCGCCTTCTGCAGCCGTCGGCGCCGCACTCTCTCAGAGACGTCGGGCTTCGCAGCCTCGTCCTCCATCTCGCTGAATTCCACCAGATCCATGCTGCTCGAGCTCCGAAACACCTCTGGCGCCTGCTCGTCGCTCTCGTCGAGCAGGGGAGCAGCCTTCGGGTCACCCCCCGCATTCTCTGCGTCCGAGGGGATGCTCCTCTTCTTCTTCTTCGGATGGATGACGAGAATTTGGAAGAGTGGCACGCCCAGAGGCAGCGCGAGCAGGAAGAGCAGCACGAAGGCGAACCACATGCTGGCGAGCTGGCTCACATCGAACACGTCGTTGACGATGATGACGCCCATGAGGTAGGCGGCGATGAGCAAGCACACGCTGTAGATGAAATTGAACTTCATGTCGTCGGCCCTGGCGGAGCTGGTGTCGGTGAGCGGGATCGGTCGCACGACGAACATCAAGCAGATGCCCACCATGAACGGCCCCACGGCCACCAGGAATATGAACTTCGCCTGGTCCGGGTAGAAGAACGAGGCGTACAGCTGCGTGAAGATGGCGCCGCTCAGCCCCGTAAACCCCTTCAAAATCCCCACGGTGCCCCCGCGATGGTGCGGAAAGCTCTTGACGCACGACATGAGCGCCGCCGTGTTGAAAAATGTCTCTCCGTTTGTCGCCATCAGGATTATCACGCACACCTGCCGCATCGCCATCGCCATACACTCCCACAGTCAGCCACACATTCCACAGCATAAACAATCTCGAGCACTCGCGAGCTGAGAGTTGAGAAATCACTTACCACCCAGAACGGCGGGGGAGGAACTTGTGCAGTGACGATGAGCCATAGCCAGCCGTAGCCGACGAGATTGAGGGCGGCGCCGCACACGAACAGGCCCCAAGTCGGCAGATAGTCGCACAATGTCCCGGCCAGAATGCCCACGTTGTCGCCGATGTCCTTGGCCACGCCCAACCTGCTAATCTGATTTTGGTTGTAGCCCAATGTGCTCTTGACGATGGGAGAGTAGCTCCCGAAGGCATAGCCCACTCCGGAGCATGCCTGGGTCAAAATTGAAGCGGCGAGCACCAACCATCGGTTGGACGCAAGCGCCCGCACATGCGAGCCCAATCCGCCCATCGTAAACTACTACACCTTCACAAGCTGGACGAACGCCCTGTCTGCTGCAGCTGCAAATGCGCCGGACAACAATTGCTCTCGCTCCCCATCCTCCACGCTGATCATGTCGACGAGAGCAGCAACCTCGGGGCCATTTTGGGCCTGGGGCGCGGGGACGGGGCCTGACGATGAATTCGAATTTGGAGAACTGCCTGAGCTCGAGTGGATCAAAACACGCGAATTGAACAGATTGATTGCTGTGCAATTTCGCTTATAAACTGTGCCTGTCTCCACACGGATCAGAGGTTCGAGCAGCAGCAGCAGCAGTGCTCTCACTGGCAGTGTTCAGCAGCAGCAGCAATAGCAGAGCCGGAGAATAAGGGCTGTGCAGTGAAGATTTGCTTCCCCGATGATTGGCCGGAAGCAATGTCTCCTGTCTCGGACCGAGCGAGGGGAGGGAAAGGGGGCCACTGCAAAGTGGCCCTGGGCCAATGGAGAGGCGACCCTTGTGACAGCGTCGCAGGCCCAGGCAAGGAGGCAAAAGGACGCACCTTTGAGGACGCTGCTTCTTCTTCAGCGGCGCCAGTCGCTCACGCAAGCGACGCCAGCCTCGGGCCCAGTCTGACCTGGCCGCCCTGCAAAAGCCAAGCGTCGGGCCCTGCCAGCCACTCGCGCCTGCAGTCGCGTGACGATAATTTGTCGGCACGCTTGGCAACTTGAACCTCTGCTCTGCTCAGCTCAGCTCAGCTCAGCTCATCGATCGATGATCCATTTCAGCTCCCCTTCCTCCTGCTCTTGCTCTTGCTCTTGCTCCTCCTCCTCTCTCGTCGAAATTCGCATTACAGCCGAAAATGCTCTAGAAATTCTCTCCTCCCATACACTACAAATTCATGAAACTCTCTCGCTCGAGTTTCTTATTAGCTCTGCCTTGCTGAAAATAAAGATGCTGGTCCTTGCGCTGGTCAGCGTGACATGGACTTGTGCAGCGTTAGAGAAAGTGCATGCAGTGCGACAGGGGTAACTGCGAGGGGGGCCAGCGAGTCAGCCCAGCTGGTTCAGTGCACCTACTACACCTTAGGGGCCTTAAAGATATGGCGGAGTGAACATATACGAAAACTGTTCGCGCTTCTTCTTCTGGCGCAAGGATATGTTCGCACCTCATGCTTGGAAGGGTGGCAAATCAGACACAAGTTTCGGGTGCGCATCAAGCGAAGGCATCACTAGATCCCTTTCGCCCAAACTATACAAACGGAAATCTTACAAATATAGCTCGCAGCTCCAGTGGATGAGATTCAAAGCAAATTTGAAAGAAGAAAACCATCGATGGCAAACTATAGAAAGGAAACTCAGGACAGAGGACCGAAAATGCCAAAGCAAAGCGATCCCGGGAACTGTGGCGATTGAGAAAGAGAGAGTCAGAGAGAGTGATGAAAGTTCACCGTAATAGCGTCAGTCATCGCAAGCATTTTGGACGAACATCGTTCACATCTCGGACTTGGCGAAAGTAAGAGACACCCTCCGCACAAGTGAAAATCAACGTGAAAATATTATCTTCTGTCACAATACAAAATGCTTCAGTTGTACCCACAGACATGTTTGTCTGCAGAACAACCTTTTTTCAGATTCGAATATTGGTTCATTGAGAGTTCGAAAGGCACAAGAACTTATTACTTTAGATTGTCCTACCATTTAATAAAGTTCATTCATAAGTCAAAATTCACTTTATTCTACTCATTGCCTAGCCTTATTATGAGGCAAAGCCGCAAGAACGTTTATCTCCAAAAATCTGGAATGCACTTATCCGCACTGCTATATAATTAAATGCTCCCTCGATTATGTAGAATCGCAGGCTCGTGCTGTGTAAAATAAATGGAGTGAAATGGCGAGCAGAGATGGTGATAAAGTAGATTGCGTGCAATTCCATGACGGAGGACTTTCACAGAAAACAGAGCAATTTCGGAAAATTGTAAAAGTAGGCACAGCATGGGCCTATCTTCGTCACGGTCCGTCTCAGGCAGGGGAAGTAGGTGAAGTGCATGGCATGGCATGTGCAAGCTCCACTCAGAGGAGGTTGCGTTTTAGGTCCTTCACTCCGACATCGATCATCCGTGTCCATCCAGACGACGGACCAAATTTCCCAAAATCGCATCCGAGCTCAGTGAGCTCAGTCAACGCGATATTCAATCCACGAGATGGCATTAACGCGACAGCTGGACGGTGCTACATGCACCGGGTCCGCAAAAGGCCAACGAGCTGTGCCACTGCCATTGCACTGCGTCTGCGCATTGCTGACGACCGTGTCTGCAGTGAATTCGGACCACTGGCAGACGGGAGTGGAGAAACTTTTGAGCTCGGGGGGTTGACGATCCAAACAAAGAGCAGCATGGGTCCTGGAGCGAAAGAGTTGCTCTCACTTCACTCTCAGCTCCGGGTTTACCAGAGTCCTCGGTGGAAATGTGGTCTGGACGCGTGTGAGGAATCACGTGAGAGAAGTCAGAGGAGCGAGGTCATCTGTTCCCGATGTGACGTTGATCTGCGCCCAGAGGTCACCCACTTCAGCCGAACCGACCATGGCAACCTAGCTCCTGGAAGTCGACCTCCGCCGTCGTCTAATCTGTCTGCGAGGGCTAATCAAACAACTGCTTGACAGTTTCTCTTTCTCTTGCCTCTCGACTCCCTTTGAGGCCAAAGCACGGGTCCACACTTGCGAATCTCCGCGTACCTACTCACATGACTTCTCGGTGCTCTGCAGGAACGTCACGGTCGGAACCTTCTTCAGTAAATTTGCGACATCCTGCCAGTTGAACGAACTCACACCACAATGTCTTGGCTCAACCGCTTGTTCGCCACATTAACATGTGGCGAACCCCACGAACAATTCCTGGCTGCTTGTAGGGGCGTTCTAGCTAAGAATCTGGCTCTTTCTACTAATTTATTCTGATAATTCTTCATCAGATGACCTTCTTTCATCTCGTGACCTTGTCGGTTTTATGAACTCACAACCCGTTGTTTGGCGCTTGTATAGATTTCCTCGTTCAAATATGTCCCTCACAGGCTCGCTGGTTGGGTCGTCTACAGACTGCCAGGCTAAAGTTTATACAGAGCACTAGAATCTGAATTGTCTGAATACAGAGCCTCAAATCATGTGTATATACATACATGTGAGCCCAGCAGGGCCACGGTCGCACAATTTAGAATTGTGGCATATAACACACCTAATCAGGTTAGATTTAAATCCTTTAGATTTAACCTTCGTATATTTACAGCATCTTGAAACTTTGTTCGAATGGTGGGTGCCAGGCAGGCAGCAAGGAGTGATCCACAGTCCTCTCAGGAACCATAAACTCTTTACTGGTCCAATCTGCTAGATCGAGAAGGTTGAAGAGAGAGTGCTCAAATGAAGGAGAGTCTGCATCGACGACAAGGCTTGGGTCCAGGCGGCAAGTAGAACACAAAAAGAGCATCATTTTATTTGCATTCGAGAGAGTCAATTTGTAAATATAGTGCCATATAATCGACACGAAGTTATCACATGGAACGGAACACGACAGTTCCTTCCCAAGGAACGGGCATGTGGGATCCGTAAGGGTGTAGCTAAGTCTCCAAACTTCCTGTGTTGATTTCAGAAGTCTGCAAAAGGTGTTTACCAAAGAGATATATATGATGAGCTGCCCTACCTCTTCAGACATGGTAGTCAGTTGCCAAGGGAAGCAGAGCCAACCAGCGAGCTTGTACACAGTTTTACGCTGCCTTTGCAGCCAGTTCCCCCACAAATTTACGTCTGTGGACAACGAAGTGGCTCACAAATGGAGATCCTTTATCTCTAACAACACCTACAGTAGCCAGATTATATCATATCTCATATTGTGCAGCTTCAAGCTGTACGGTTTAATTCCCAATTCCTCTATAAGACAGAGCAAAACTTCGAATTTTTCTGTTCCGCATCCCTGAAAAACTAGGTGACTTATGAGGGCAGGGGGCATTTCTGTGTATGTAAAAAATGAAGAGGTAAAGAGCCATGTGTTGTAGCCACGACAACAACTCCCTTCATGTCTCTCTATTCTCATCTCTATTGTCTGTTTAAGTGAATTTGGTTATTTCGTGCACTACTTCGCTCCTTTATTCTCTTGGTCCAGCAAGGTTGTAACCTTGTGGTTCTTCGCTGGATCAGACATTGATTACTTATTACTTATTTCATCGACATTTAGCCTTCGCTTAGTATAACAGTTCCATCTTCAGAATTCAATCCGTGTTATAACATTAAATGAAATTGGGTCCATATGACTCCTTGCCGGTTCAAGATACAAGTATGAATACTCTTGATGTCATCAGGGATTATTCAGGACATAGTTTTTAAAGGAAGTGACAAGCCATCCTCCCTGTGCAAAATTTGCGAAAGCCTATCATAATATGGAACACTGTATCACTTTTGAGAAAATTGCTTCTTATACGATAGCAATTGAGTCACATGATGGATATTACTGGATGTTTATTTATTCTTTATACAATTTAATTAAATAATCTTGATGTATTAAGCGTTGATCATTCTAAAGTACATTTTGGCGGTATGACATGACGAGACTATTCATGTCTAACCAAATCATACCTCAATTGCTTTCATCCTTGTGATCAGACCTTCCATACTTTTTCTAGGTTACTCTCTCCTTTTTCGTTGTGTTCCCGGCCACTCCCTCGGGAGTATTCAGAGCATACCTTTCAGCAGATCTGTACATGGGGCCAGATTACCTCTCATAATTTATGTCCCTGTTACACAAATTTCGATACATCATTTTGAAAGCAAGAATAAATCGAAAGCTACAATCACATGGGAACCAAGGGACTGTCGTAAGAAGAACAGGTGATAGCAACGATGCCATACACAAGGGACGTCCACCAGCCTCAGACAGGTTTTCTGCTACACCCGATGTCCAATGCTTTCCTCCACCAACGAAGCGTCAAGAATGTAGCGAAAGTTTACAGATCCAGTTGCCACTTCTCAGTAATCTCAACAGCCTCATTGCTCCTCGTCCTAATCAACCTACTTTCCTTCGAACTCAAGGTTACCGATGCTTTATCAACCGTCGGAAGCTAGAGCATATCCTACTCTGACCTGAGCCCACAACACAAGACTGTCGGTGAACGAATCATAGAATTGGAGTCTGACTTTCAAAAGGCCCCAAGTAAAGTACCAGAGGACACAAACCAAGTGCACGTAGAGTCAAATGTGATGTGAGAAACAGAGAGTGCTGAGATCTGTAGACATTCCCCACTGGATTCTTCAACAGAAATGGAAACCGAACCGACCACACACAGTCGGACAATCTAGATGTGCACCTGATCACAAGTACATACTCTGAATCCAATGTCGCGTCTGAAAACTATGCATATCCGTATGCAATTTGCATTTTTGGAAGCTTGTGATGGCTTGTGGATGTCATTCCGTAGACTTATGGTTGGCCGTTCGCTCAAACAGTGTGTACCAGTTTCGTGAAAGAAGTTGTTACGAAACTGCTTTGAAAGAAGATGGACAGAGGCTACATAAATGAATGAGATAGGACGAGCATGGGGACAAAGACAAAGCTAGTCATAGACCAACCCACCGGTATAACAATGAAGAAAACAAGGGTTCCT